GTTTCCCATCATGTTACACCAATTTGCCCAACTTGGCTCTCCTCCGGTCTCTACTTACCTAAACAGCCTAGTCTTATCTCCAAAATTTGGTATCTCTTTATACAATCTCTCATTTCCACGTCATCAACACATGAATAAAATGTTACAGGAACTGCTATGGAACCTTGCTGTTCATCTTTTGCATGATGAACACCAACTATTAATTCTTCTTTATTTGTCCCGTAACAATATTTTGCTTCTGATTATAAGCACTACTTCACAGTCAGGGCGGCTAGGATCTGGAACCAACTTCTAAGGGAAGTGGTGCTCACTCCTACCCTGGGGGTCTTCAAAAGGAGGCTAGACAGACACCTTGCCAGGGTCGTTTGACCCCAGCACTCCTTCCTGCCCATGGCAGGGGGTCGGACTTGATGATCTGCTCAGGTCCCTTCTGACCTGACCAACCATGAAACTATTTTCTTTGGTAGCGTCTTGTAAAAGGGCTTTTTTCAAAGGTCTTCTGAAAGACTCAAAAGTTACGTCAACAAGTTCTCATTTAGCACTATGCTGACATCAAGACTTCTAACAGATTAGTAAGGCACCATTTTCCTTTGCACTATGGTCTACCTAGGTTATTATATTCAGTTTTTAATTTTCATTACAATCAGTCTGCCAAACAGTGGTAACTGTTTTCAGATATAGGTAGAAGAATATTTGGCTACTTTCTAATTTTCTCAGCATAGAGACTGTTTTTAAATGAGAGCCTGCATATTTTTGCAAGCAGCTCAGTAAATCTATATTTCAGCTCCTTCAGCACTGTGGGATTTACACTGTTTGGGTTGGGTGACTTACTGTATTTTCAGTTCTCAATTTGGTCCAGCCTCTCTTTTGACACTCAGGTCACCAACAGTACTTTTTCCCTATTGCCAGAAAAGAAGAACAGGGATCTCCACCACCCTCTGTGAAGACTGATGCAGAGACCCTCCGTGATCAAGACTGATGCATTTAGGTGCTCGGCACTGTCCTTATCCTTAGCCCTTTGAGACCCAGCAGTCCCAATTATTTTTTTCATGAGTTTCCTGCTTCTGAAACTCTTGCTATTTATTTGGAGTTTGAAAAGTCATTAGCTAAAGGTGCCATTTCAGCCCTTCTAATGTCCTTCCTACATGCTATGCAGTCTCCCTAATTTATACTACTATGTATTGGCTTTATTAGGAACCCATTTTGAAGAATATCTTTTCGACTCTAGTGGACTCTCAACCCATTTAATCATATTGATATATATAGTCCTGGCTTTCTAATCACAGTTTTTGGTCATAAGTGTACTTGCTAAGATTTCCTTGCTGGTTTTTGAGAGTAGCATCCAAGCCACCATGCTTTTCCTTTCATCTTTCAACTTCAGCATCTTTTCTGACTCATTCTATTTTACTGGAATCTTCAGTAGTGTTAATATTTGATTCCTTAACTTCCCCTAGGACATTGACTCTAACTATAATGTGGTCACTAGCATTCTTGATTAACGTCTGTCTTGCTTAGCCTGACACATCAGCTTTAGAGCTAGCTTTGCCAAGGACAAACAAAACAAAAAACAAACAACAAAATCAACCAACAGTTAAAATACTACACACTAAGAACCAGATTCTCAAATTCTGGCCACTTATCTCACTTTATTGGTTTACATATGGATAGCTGAAGCTCCCCTGATCATCTTTGAATCTCTATTAAGTTTATTGAAAACAGCAAAATCAACTATACCATAAAAAGCCTAATAGTTAGAAGTTGCTGAAGTAGTAAGACTTGCAATACACAGGAGGTTAGATTATGGATAGTCTTATGCCACCCTTTGACTTTTAAAACTCTCTTCTCTAACATTCAGGGTCAAGTATAGTATTTCTTCTCACAGACTCGCTGCTTACATACCTGTGACATCCCATTTGTGACAGCTGGTCTCAGTACGGATTTGTTCTGTCGGTTAATACATGGGCAGTTTGCTTTAATTCCCCATTTGCCTCGTGCTGCATGCACCATGTCTCCAATATTATAAAGGGCTGTAAGGAAAGTTAAAAGTTTTGGTACTGGAGCTGTGTACAAATCTGGAAGAGACACTGACCGCAATTACTGCCACCTCACAGTGAAAGTCTTAAGGGTTGATGAAAGCCTCAAAACAAGATGCTTGCATACACTCTAGTGTACTGTGTAACAGCGCTCACATCGGTTCTGAAAGCTGGTCTTGTCAGGGAGATCCTACCATTGAACATTTCCCTGCCCTTCAGGTAGGATGCTTCCTATTACTCACTGTATTTTGTTACTGGTAGTATCTCTGAAAAAAAGAGGACTGAGCCAAAACAAGAGCCACATGCTTTGGATGCACATTATCACCTTTGGTAACAGCTTAGTCTCACACAAACTATTTTCACCTCAATTCCCAAGCTTCCTTCAGCAGAACACTTTCTTCATCCAGGCACCCTCCTCCCTGCCTCCACTAAACAAGACAACAGCTAGAAAACCTAACTATCACACTTCCTTCTCTCCTGCCTCTTCAAACAGGAAAAGTTGTATAGAGTTTCCTTCCGGTTTCGAATATTACCTGTTCCAGGAATGATTTGGGTTGGCATAAGATTTTCTGGTTCATGAGACTGCCCCTTCGCACACTTCAGCCATGAGAAGACTTCCTCATCACCAATCTCCTCTGTTTCTGAAATGGTAAGAGCCAGACACTTTACTCTCCTAACAAGTCACAGAATATTTATTTGTCACTGTTTCAACGAGTTTCATCTCCGAGCTGAACAATTAACAACAAACCCATCCTACCCTGGTGAGCACAGAATTAAGACGCTTCAGAACAAAATCCATGGCAGCTCCCAGGGGCTCTATTTTGCCCCTACCATCCACAGAAGGCTGTTAAGACCATTCTTTTGCACAGAAGTGTCCACTGAGGCCATGCAGGTGCCTTGGACAGCCTCATCTCCTGCACTGAGGGCGTAACAGGTAGAATAGCCCCCATCATCGCACAGTTTCTTTCCCCCTTCAGATCCAGCTGTTATACAACTCCAGAATCACGCAGAAGAAGAAACACAGTCATACAGGGACAAAGAATCTTGGATTCCAGTTACCAAACTGGTAAGTAACTCTGCTTTCCTCAAGTACTTGTTCCTATATAGCTGACCCTTTATTCTTTCAGCAAACAGCAAAGCCAACCTTGGGGAAGCTGCAAAAGGTTCAGCTCCTTGTAGCTGGAAGGATAGCACTGTAGACATTTAATTTACATAGCTTAGTCTCTATTTTGGAAGACTGAGGTTAAGTGAAGAACCTAAGACAGCGTGTATTCTTATTTAAATAAAATTTCATTACTAGTTTTGTTGGGAATTTGATGGG